CTGCTGCTGTTGCTGTTGCTGTTGCTGGATTCTTCCCTGTTATTGTTAGTTTCAACAATAACAACACTCGTTTTGATCAATATGTCATCTTTGATCCACCCCCTTCCCCTCTGTCTCTGTTCCGCGGTTCCAATGCGTCATTCCAGTGCTGGGTATCCTCACACTGCTCTGTGTGCTATTCTTCCCGGTTCAATCAATTTCCACCGTTGTGGTCTCCGTCCATATCGGTTTGCTCGGTAAGTTGTTTTTGTTTTGCACGAAGCGTGCTACTTCTCGCATTCATCCCGACGTTGACGTTCACAGATCCAAATCATCCTGACCACAACACAGCGATGGGTCTGCACAGCCGGTATGTGCGAGCGCTAGACAATTGATTTCTTCAGGACTGTTGGTACTGAAAATAACCTAACCAATGATCACGTTTTAATACAATCTCTGGTTGCGTAACTGTTCAAACGGTGATCTGTTCGCTTTTCTTTTTTTTCGGAATCACAAATAGCCATTTTCTGAAATTCTTCCACCTCTCCCAGTGCACCACCACATGTAATTTCTCTATGCCATCCCCCTCCCTCCCTCGCGCGCTATAGTTTCTTCCCATCGTAATTCTACCTTGTCCGTGATTCAGTTGATCGTGACATTTCGTTCGGATTATCCGCCTGTGTAAAGCCGACCACAACCACTATTGATTTGATACTTCTCATGGTTTGCAGGCCTTTCTCTTCAAACCCTGTTAAGTAACCTCTGCGTGTGTGTGTGTTCGTTTCAGTACGATCTTATTTCACATTTGTTGGACACTACGGAAAACAATAATGGAAAGAAAATCACATTTCTTTCATTATATTGTATGTTTCTTGTAGTATTTTACTTCACACGCGTCTGCGTTCATACCGTGTGCCAAACAATTCACAGTACAATAAAAAAATAGAGAAAGTTCCATGATTGACTTGTGAACGGAATACTGTCAGGTTGCCCAGGCCAAGGCAGGCGAAGTTTCTAAAGGAATTCACAACCTGAACCATCGGCTAGCCAAATCCTAACCCGCAAGGCAGCGGGACAGTGTGCGAAACCCGCAGTCCATTGTGGGCCGGTGTCCAATTCATCTGATCATACGCCCTTCGGACGGAGTCAAACATCCAAGGTGCCCAATCGAGCCGGTGACGACTGTCCCAATTATGAAGGTGTGTGTGTGTGTGTGTGGTTTGTACACCTCCTCTTACTTGGTTTGGAATCAGGATTTTTAGCCAACTTCCCTAGGTGAACTGCCAGTAGTTCATCGATCCGTTTATAGTCCCGGATATTGACTTTTCGTTCTCTCACTTTGGTGGGGAGAAAACATCTCCGCCACTTGAACGTAGTGAACCGGGTTTCCTCAGTGTAGTCAGTCGAAAAAGATGATAGAGTGGTGTAGAGAAAATATCTCAATCCACCCAGAACTTCAATTT